AGCACGTGCGTGTTTTGCTCTAGCTCTAAATATAGAAATGATTATTGAGTTCAGAGGTCAGTTTGGAAAAGACGGAGTGCGGAGTATGGATTGCGGAGTACGGAGACTTTCAAAACATTTTTTTGAAAACATTTTTTTCATTCAGTTTATTTTTTCTAAAGATTCGATTTTAATGAGACTCCGCGTTTTCCACTTTATGGGGGCATAAGTAGAAAACGCGGAGTCTGTCAAAAAATTGTTTATTTTGCCCAAAGACTATATTTTAATGAGATTCCGCGTTTTCTACTTTATGCCCCCATACACTTGCCGTGTCTTTTCACTTTGAAACTTTGCACTATCCTTGGATCCCTAGTTATTCATTGAACTGCCAAAATGGAGATGTCTCATATAAATCATATTGTAAAAATCGATGTTTTCATGATATCATTTTTATTATTTTTAAACTTGTCTATTTTACTACAGTACACTTGGATTTACATATCAAATATAAATGTGTTTAGTCAACTAAATGATCTTGTATATATGAGTTGTGGTCAGCAAATGAAATGAAACTATATCTATAGAATTTCACCTGCCATTTTTTTTAACTTTGGCAGTTCAAATTTGTTTTTACCTGCCATTTCTAAAATATGGCCTGCTTTTGGCCATTGGCAGCCCGCTATTTCGAGCCCTGATATATATATATATATATATATATATATATATATATATATATATATATATATATATATATATATATATATATATATATATATATATATATATATATCAGGGCTCGAAATAGCGGGCTGCCAATGGCCAAAAGCAGGTTTTAGGCTTATTTTAAGGCCTGCTCATTTATCTTTCGAACAAATGGTCATCCGTGTCTTTAGTGCAAGTAATAACTGTACAGGAGAAAATTTAGTAAAACCTATAATTTTTAGATGCCGCTTAATTATACAAATTTACTATGATATTCCATAGTCGGTTACAATGTTTGAATTTTCTTGTTCAAACTTTAATGTTCTTGTTGCCACATCAGAAAAACTAGTAAAAACTTGTTAAAAACATTCTAAAATAGATTAGGTTGTTTTATTTATTTCAAAATCCTAAGTTATTTCCAGAAATCATCAAAACAATCTTATGTCCATGCATCGTCCGAACTAACGCCATCGAACTGGGCGCAATGTAAACATAAATTAGCAAGTTGACGGCAAGCTAAAACACGCTTCATTTGAATAAACGCATTTGATAGATATATATATATATATATATATATATATATATATATATATATATATATATATATA